ATATATATATATATATATATATATATATATATATATATGAAAATGGCTCCATAAATACTTACAGATCAGCAAATATTTGGTTAATCTCAGATCGTGGGCAGAGGTTGTTGATGAACGATTTGTAAACATCAGGTGTCAAATCCTCCAAAGGGATGGAGTCGTTCTGCAGAGACCAACAAGAACAGACCAGCAAATTATGGCTAGCACTTTATTTTACCCTCCTGTTCTGCATGTACAGACTATGTACTTATTATCGCAATTACAAATTAGGTTCTAACCCTGAACCTACCCCAAAATCTAACCTTACCCCACGTAGTTACCTTATACTACCCAGTACTTTCTTGGTTAAGTACATTGTAAGTACATGTACTGTAAAATAAAGTTTAACCAAAGTATGAAATACATATTCATGCATTTATTATACAACATATAACATATAACAATAACAACGAGTTTTCAGTCTCACGCCAGCAATTAATCACCAAAAATAGAGAAGCTAAACCTGCTTTTACTAACAAGTGGCCCCATATGAATAAAACAAAAATATTTAAGCTTACCTCAAAATGAATTAGCTAATTGCATCCTAAGAACCTAGTTCAGCTGACAAGGAATCGACTGTTTTGTTACGTCAATCCCAATAATGGACAACGCTGTCGGAGAGCAAACATTACTCAATGTCATCCACATGCTGTCAGACGTTCATCTCCCACAGTAAACATTCAAAGCATCCAGCGCCCGCGGCTGATTAATGCCAAAGAAAGAAGAAAAACCAGATGAAAGGACGTGAGTGAGTGAGTCAGAGGCGGAGGCCGAGATGATTTCTCACTAGTTACACACTTTCTCCCTCACGACTCCCTCCAGGCCTTTTAACATTACAGATTTAGAAAATCTCCCTGTCTTCAACATTCAACCTTTAGATTTGCTGTAAAACGATAAGGTAAACAAATAGACTACCTTTGATCCTGGAAGTGAAAAAGCAGAAAAAAAGAGATAAAAAGATAAACCAAAGTATGTATAAATAAATAATAGCTAGCTAGATAGATAGATAAAAAGATAAATAAATAAAAGATAAATAAACAGAAAAAATAGACAAATAAATAAATTAATTAAAAACTGTTAAACATTTATAAATAAATACTAAATATGTATAAAATAAATAAAAAGTAATTAAGAAATTAATTAAAATAAAAAAATATAAAAATAAACATAAATAAGAGTAGGGATAAATAAAATAACAGATAATAAATAAATAAACAAATAAATAAATAATTAAAAAGATAAATACACAGACAAATAAAAAAAATAGATACAAATAGAAACAGATAAAAAAACAATGTACAAATAAATATATGCATAAAACTATGAACAAACATATAAATAAAATAACAGATAAAAATAAACACATAAATAAAAGATAAATAATAGAGAAGTAGAAGATTAAATAAACAAAAACTTAAAAAAAAGGCAAAGGCGGAGGCCAGCCAGAATAACACCATATTTCTGATTAGCTACACACTTTGTTTCCTCCTGAGGCCTTTTAACGTTATGGATTTTGAGAAAATCTCTGTGTCCAATGTTCAACCTTTACATTTGCCATAAAACAATAAGGCAAACAAACAGACTCCCTTTGATTCTGGAGTCATTTGTCAGGCGGTGTGCCTCGATCCGAAAGCACACGTTTTTGGTAAAACCCACAAATTGACTTCCTGTGGAAACATGAGGTCTTCCTGTCTGCCAGCGGGATTCTGGAGCGATTAGCCGAACATATGCTCACCCGGCCGGCCGGAAGATTGCAGCTCTCCAGCGCCGTCTCCACACGCTTCCGGTCGGTCGAGAACAAGCGGAAGATGCTGCAGAGAGAGAGCGAAACATGAGGAGCATTCAGATCTGATCACGTTCTGCTGCATCATGAGAGACAGAGCTGAGTCTTACTTTTTCACTGGGATTCGACCCTCTTGATTCGTCTGCAGCTTGAGTCTCGTGAAGCTGGTCATAAAACAATTTCATGGAAAAACTAGATCAGCCATTCTCAGGAAACTGTGTCTCCATGACTGACTGATTGTGTTCATAGATACAGATATTGAAATATACACACAATATTTATTCCCATTCATCACCAGCACACTAATAATTCAATAAATGAATAAATAGATAGATAAATATAGACAGACAAACAAACAAACAGATAAAACAAATTGATTAAAAAAACTGATAAAAAGATAAATAATTAGATAAAATAAAAATAGATAAGAAATACACAAATAATTTTTTTTAAATTAGACAAAATGCTAAATAAGATAACAAACACAAAAACAAAATAAGTTGATATAAATATAAAAATATATAATTAGATTTGAAAAAGTATATACTAACTAAATAAATACAATTCTAAGTTACTTAGGGATACAGATTTTCCATTGAACACAAAACGTTTTTATCATCCAAAAATAGCCAAATAATCAAAAATATAATAAAAGAAAGAAAGAAAAATAAATATATTGATATTAATTAATTGATTGATTGATTAATATTTTATTACTTAAAATGACTTCAGATAATTAGGTAAAATACACAGATAAAAGATCAAAACAGATAAAAGATTAAAAATAGACAATCACACAAAAATAAATTCTAAATTTGTATTTTATTGAATCGAACACTATTGTTTTCCAATAAACATTAATTGGCCTGATTTAAAGGGTTAGTTCACAAAAAAATAAACAAACAAACAAACAAACAAATAAATAAATTACAAAATTAAAGTACCAATTAATTAATTAAAGAATATGTATTAACTAATTAAATAATATTAATTCATTAATTAATAAAAGCATATTCTGTAACACTTGACTTAAAGCTTTTATACATAATGCATTATAAATGTAGTTTTAAAGCACCTTATAATGCACTGTATGATCTCATGAATAACTCATTAATACATTGTAACACTTTTTTTAATTGTCACACCTTTATAAAGTACAATGCATTAAAACGCACGACAAACACACTTTCATATATTAAAATGCATTTTAACTTTGGTAACAAGTATTTATAAAATTATATAATGCATTACAACACACAGTACATTATGAATACCTTGCAATGCATTATACATTATACAAGGTTTTCAGTGAAGTGTTACTGTATATTCTTTTAAATCTGGTACTGTTTCCTGACAATGAGTCATAAACACATTTAAAAACTTTTCATAGAACAAAATCATGTGACTGAGGTGTGAACGGCCTCCTGGCGGAAGCAGGTAAATATAATCATCAGGTACTCACGCTTTCTCCAGACAGGACTCTCGGCCCATGTTTTGAGCGAGCAGGTTAGACGCCAGACTGAAGAGCTCATCTGCCCACTCCTTCATCAATGACAAACACAAAAGGCATTTTCATTAAAACAATTCAGGTCAAGTATCCTGACTAGGATTTATGCTGCACAAGTATCTCACTGCCAGAAATATCTGCCACTCCACGCTCCGCTGATCTAATGAAATGTTCAGAGGCAGTAAAACACCTTGGCGACGTCTTCTTGGAAGGCCATGAAGTTCAGGTACTGGATGTTGACCATGTCTGGCCCCGTCACCACCGTCAGCATCCGGTTCTCTATCCGGCCCACCAGATTCCCCACATCCAGCAGCTCCCGCAGCTTCGCTTCCTGAGGGAAAAGTGCAGGAATTAAGCTGTAAAATACGGCAGAATAAGCCTGTAAAGCCTCTTTAAGACCGCTGTGATCTCGCCCACAACCGCTTCCCATGAGCGCTTTTATCTGGATGCTAAAAACACCTGCTGCTGCTGCTGCTGCTGCTGCTGATGATGATGATGATGAAGAAACAACATCTAAAGCATCAGCCAGTTCAACTTCAGCCCCCACGCTGGACACAACACTTTTATATCATACAAGAGAAACCATTCATATTTAAATATTTTTTGCTTTTATTGAAATGACTTCAGGACCAGCATTTTACTTTGAAATGATGGATGGATGGATAGATAGATAAATTAATAAAAAATAAATGTAAAAATATACATAGATGTATAAATAAATAACACATCAAATTTTTGCTAATTTGTATTGAAATTGACACTCTATTGTTTTCATCTAAAATACACAAACAACTTAATTCATTAAATATTAGTTTTATTAAAATTACTTGACCCACTTTTTTAATCACACAAAAATATGAAAAATGAAATGCATTAAATAGATTACATTTTTTTCTCATTTTATATGAGAATATAAGAGCCAAAATCATCACAATTAAAAGAACCAAAGACTTAAACTACTTCAGTCTGTGTGCATTGAATGTATTTAATACACGAGTTTCACAATTTGAGTTGAATTATTGAAATAAATGAACTTTTCCACGACATTCTAGTTTATTGAGATGCACCTGTAAATAACATATTTATATAACATATGATGTTATACAACATAAGATATAACATCATTATATCTGAAAAAATTTCAATTATTCATTCATTAATTTATTTACTTCAAAGGAAAACAATTGAGAGTTAATTTCATAAAAAATTAGATAGAATTGCATGTTTCATTCATCCATTCATACATACTTTTATGTATTTTTTTTATTTTTAGCTATTTTTATTTTGCTATATTTTTACCTGTTTATTTATTTGTTAATTTTATTTTTATTTATTAATATGTTTATCTATCTACCTGTTTATTCATCCATCCACTCATCTATCCACTATTTATTCATTCATTCATTTAAACATACACAATTGCTATATTTTTTCCATCTATATTTATTTGTTTATTTTCTTTTTGTTCCTTTATATATTCATCTACCATTATTTATTTATTTTTTTAACACATTTTAGATTTTAATTATTTTTGTGTGATAAAAAAGTGTTGCGCCCAAGCGTTCGGAAGTCATTTTAATAATCTATATATTTTGTTTTTTTATTTATTTATATATTTATCTACATTTCTGTATATCAATCTATCCATTATTTATTTATATTAAACAAATAAATAAATACATTCTATCTCAATTTTGCTTTTATTGAAATCACTTCAAATTTTACATTGAATACAACTTGAATACAACTGAAATATGAAATGCATATGCCCATGCTAATTGTTTCATGTAAACTGGACTGTAAAAATGAAATAAGTCTGGCTGGTTGTTTGCGCGCCGGTCAGATGCTCTGTGCCTGTCTGTGTGGGCGTTTGTTGGCAGAATGAGCTGCAATGTGGAACCGATTTTCAGCCAAAAAAGCCTTTGCGTCTGTAGCTGAAAGTGTTCATCAGGTAGGAAGCCTCTCTGGTTTTGGAGCAGATCTTTCATCTGTCGTGTCGTTCAACAAGTGTTTCTCTCGGCAGCTCATGCAGCTGTGCAACAGGTGTGTGTTCGGCTTTCAGCTGTCAGCGGCTAATTAAAGCCAACGCAACGACTCTCCAATCAAGCGCTGATGTGTGAGAGCCATCCGCACCACGGCAGAACCAATGCTTTAACAAATATAATCAAGCCTGAAAAACACTCCCTCTGCTGAACACATCTGGATGATTGAGAACGAGCCAGCAGACGCGTGAAATCCCAAAGAGCACATCAACACATCACCGACAACAAATGGAAAAAATCTAACAAGTTATCAATTTCAATACGGTAAAAATGAAAAATGAATATATATATATGTGTGTGTGTGTGTGTGTGTGTGTGTTTGTAAACAAATAACTTAATTAATTCTTCATAATGTTTGCTTTTATTGAAATTGCTTCAAGACCAAGATTTTACAATAAAACATTAGTATTAACATAACAATACTTTTTTATCATACAAAAATAATTAGAAAAATTAAATGTATTAATATTAAAATAAATATGTAAGTAAATAAAGAAATCAGAAAAATTTTATATATTAAAATAAATAAATAACTAAATAAAAAAACAAACAAACAAATCAATTCTACCTACATTTTGCTTCTGTAATATTTACTTCAGGACTCACATTTTACATTGGACACAACACTTTTTTATCATGTAAAAGCAATCAAAAAAATTAAATATATTAAATGAATAAATAAATAAATAAAAAATAAAATTGTGCTTTCATTTAACTAAATTCAGGACCCAGAAATGTTTTTTTGTCATAGAAAAAAAAAAGAAATGTATACATAAATCAATAAAAATCGACCTAAATTTAGTTTTTATTAAAATTACTTTAAGATCCGATTTTACATTGGACACAACACTTTTTATCATACAAAAATAACTGAAAAATGTAATGTATTTAAATAAATAAATAATGCTTTTATTGAAATTACTTCAGGATACAGATTTTACTTTGGGCACAACACTTTTTTTAATCATACAAAAATAACAGAAAAATCTAAAGTATTTAAATTAATTTAATTTTAAAAAATTGTAATTAATTTAGCTTTTATTGAAATGACTTCATGACCGAGATTTTACATTGGACTCTTTTTTAAATATACTAATATACTTTTTTTAAATATACAAAACTAACCAAAAAAATTTAAGATATATTAATATTAACATGAAATGCGTATGATGTGAAAGTGCAATCCGTGCCACAGCAGACAAATATAATCAGACAAACTGAACAAACATATTCAAGGGTAAAATCACTCCCACCGCTGAACACGTCTGGATGTTTGCATGAGGACGAGTGAAATCCCAAAGTGCACATCAACACGTCACTGACAACAAATGGAAAAAAGACACAGATGGTTTTTCATCAAGAACAATCAGAGGTTTTATCAGTTCCGGATGTGACTCAGAAAACAACATGCCCACAACACACCCAGAGGAAAAGCACGCTATTACAGAGTCTACACCCATCAGAGCTCCGGAAGCCTTCGCTAATTTCAGTGTCGGTTCAATGAGTAATATTAGAGCTCGAATTGTCTTCATGCCACTTGAGGGGCCAAAGGATTGATCGGCGCCACCAACGTCTCGCTCCAAACTAGCATTCAGATCCATTGCTAAATGATGCTCATAAATATTTGATTCAATCAGAAAGATGTGCAAACACTGAATAGACCGTCACACCCATAATAGAGTACATCAATGAATCCAACGTTCCCTTTTATTTCTGTGAAAGCATAAATACAACAACTAAGATGCCATTTGCAACCACTTATACTTGCGTAATGTGACATTTTATTTTACATCTTTGATGTAAGATTATGAAGACAAGATTTTCTGTAACATGCACACAATCAGAAATAGGTATTCACATGAATTAAAAATGAAAATTGGCTGAAAATGTCTTCACTCTCAGGTCATACCAGATGTAGATGAGTTTGTTTCTTCGTCAGATTTGGAGAAATGTAGTATTGCATCACTTGCTCTGCAGTGAATGGGTGCCGTCAGAACGAGAGTCCAAACAGCTGATAAAAACATCACAATAATCCACACCACTCCAGTCCATCAGTTAATGTCTTGAGAAGACAAAAGCTGAAACAAATCCATCATTAAGGTATTTTTAACTTTAAATTGTTGCTAAAATATGAGTCCATAATCCATAATAACGCTTTCTCCAGTGAAAAGTCCATCTCCTGTTGTCTCTCACATCAAAATCCAGCCACATATTTGTTTAGAGCTGTTTTGAATCTGTGCAGATTTGTCTCCTGATTCAGATCAGACCACGTTTTCACTGGAGGAAGCGTTATGGATTATCGACTCATATTTTAGGTAGAAACGTCACTTCACAAGACACTGACTGATGGACTGGAGTGGTGTGGATTACTTGTGGATGGATCCAGTTGTGAGCAAGTGATGCGATGCTACATTTGAGCTATGTCTTGGCCTGAGGGAGAGTACGTTTTCAGCAAATTTTCATTTTTGGGTGAAATATAAGCTTCATTTGCATGTCCTTCAGGCCGTTTGGACCTACAGGATCTGCATTTGTAAATTATGCAAATCTTGGTGATTAAATTGGAGCTTAAATCATCATGATTCAGCTGAACGGCTGCTCTGAGGGAGACGCCAACGACACTATAAAAAGATGAAAAACATTATTAAACATACCATACATTTCTGTAAACACATTTAAATGCTGAACATCAAGAATGTGCTTGTCGATTTCTGTTAGTGGTGTTTGAAAGTCAATTAGTGCTCATAGTTGTTCTAAAAGATTCAAGCAAACCATTAATACAAAGTATTCAACTTCTATGAATGCACGATTTTCAGCTGTTAGACCATAAAACAGGCAAGAAAAAATCCCACAGATGCACACTGAAGGATCCGCAGACCAGAAGATCACAGAGAAATTATGATTAATTAATACTAATAAAAAAAATAAAAAAACACTAAATACAAACAAAATAAGATATATTATTAATGTAATATTTCACTGTAAAATAAAAACAATGATTTAAGAAAAATAATATAATAACCTCAATCTGGCTATTATTTTTATTATTATTATTATTATTATTATTAAATATATAATATTAAATACAATAAATTATATTAAATAAAAAAACATTTTAAATACATAAAATAAAAAATACACAAAAATAAAATACTAATAAAATAAAAAACTAAGAGATATTATGTAATAAATACTTTTTTTCTTCTTCAAAAAACACTAAATACAATCAAAATAAGATGTATTATTAATGTAATATTTTACTGTAAAATAAAAACAATCAAGTATTTAAGAA